CAAATAAAAAGACAAAACTATGTGTCCAACAACCGGTTCACAGAGTATGGCTATAGTTTACCAAACAGGATCGCTCTATTCCAACAAAAGTTTGATGTATAGCCTTGTCTCACTATGCTACTTTAATAATTTTCTTAAAATGCTGGCTTCCAAATACAAATCAACAATCAAATCCTATTGAAACATTGCGACAGACAAGCACCATTCACACAAGAAAAGACACAAAACCAAGCCAATCGCTATCTGTAGAATTGACCATCGGAACAAATGAAACGTGAATAACATCGAAATTTCCAGATCACTTTTCGATACTTTGTTTTGAAAACTCATAATTTTAGAAATCAAGTGTTTTAACAGATGTAAGACTGAATAGATGGCGCAATGGTGAGAAAGATGTAATATTGTCAGCAGAATCAATTACATGATTATACTCATGGAAGAATCAGCTCATGTAGCTTTTTTCTCAAATGTGTGAAAAATATCATCGTACTTGTTGAGGAATGTCATTCAAGTCATCCAAATCTTGTTGTGTGATAGTGTTCTTATAGCGGAGTCACTATGAGTTTAAAATACGAAACACGGCAGAGCTATTTTAATCATGACATAGAAAGCTAACTATGTCTATCATAGTTTTTGTAGCAAGTGAGGGGGGGGGGGGGGGGAGGGGGATTGGCGCAATGGCAACTTGCTCATTTCTCGAAAGTTGGCATCATGCTTGAGCCTTCCCTCCCTCAGCACCATGTTTGTATAACTCTGTTCTGTTCTACATGTCTCAAGCTATTCGTTCGTTCATGGTCAATGCATTCTGCTCGCATGCCAAAGTGGTTCGACTCGGTAAACAATCACTCATGACTCATGTTATCTTTTCTCATAGTGTTATATGCCTTATGTTTGTGCTTTGCTTTAATTACTTTTCATTCTTCATAAGTTACTTGTAATCAGCACTATATCCCATTAGGCCCTATCATAGGTAGAGGGTTAAATAAATCGCAAATAAGCATTTTTTGGGGTGGGTGAATTTCTTGAATAGCATCATAGCTCATTACAAAAATTCCTTTTTCGAGTCATATCGCTTTATGTGACAGGCACACGAGAATCCGAGAGCTAGAAACCTCTTATCCACAATTGAAACATTCGTAGTGTTTCAAATTTCGACCCTATAATAATCGTCTTGGAAGTTTTCTCCTTACGTGCAGTAGTTGTTGTTGTTGTTGTGGTCTTCGTAGAGGTTGTTGTTGTTGTGCGCGTCATAGAGGTTGTTGTTGTGGTCGTCGTAGAGGTTGTTGTTGTGGTTGTGCTAGTCGTAGACGTTGTTGTTGTTGTTGTGGCCGTGTCTATAATAAGGTGCACCAAGGGCAAAAAGGAAGCAAAAAAAACTAGTTTTTCTGTTTAACATATCATTCGATAGAACTCGTCGAGTTGATTCCGAATATGTATATATTTTTGTGTTTTGATTACGTTTTGCGTCTGAAAACCTAAAAATACTGGAAAATCCGAAAATAGCCAATCCATGATCACTTCCGTAAAGAATCGAATATTTTGCTCTTTTATTTGCGTTAGTTTTTTTCTAAACCGAGTTATTTAGATTCATCATTTCAAACTGAGTCTTTTGATGTAATTTGGTGATATTTTTGAATACTTTTTGATGTAGTTATTGTCTTTCCAAAGCTCAATGGCTAGTATAGCGGTACCTTTATCTTGCAAATCTATGTAGTCTTTTATTTCAAAACATTTTCTCGATATTTATACATCAATTGAATCGTTATTTGACAAGGAAAAAAAGTACGTATGGGTTTTAAAAAATTGTTTTCTCGGGCTGAGAAATAGAGCTTTTACTAAATCAAAAGCGATTAGGCTAAAATTCTACCCCTGAATCGTCATTTTTTCCAACCAAACTTCATTATATTGTAAAACAAATACCACACTGAAAAAAAAGGTACGATACCGAACCAAAAAGAATACTGTGAACGAAAAAAAAAGGTTTCGTACTTAGTACGGAACCTACAAAGATTTCGAATTCGTTTCAATTATCTGAATCATTTTAGGTTTGGTATCGACCACTACGAAAAACTTGAAAAAGTGTGCTGAGTCAATGACAATCACTTTTAGTCACCCAAAGTTTTGTACGAAACCTTTTGAAGATTTCGTATTGTCTTCCTGAATGGTTCCGTAATCATACAAATTCTTTTGCAGCGTACCGAACCATTTTGAAAGGCCATGCGAAACCCTCAAAAGGTTTCGTACAAAACTTTGGATGACTAAAAGTGATTGTCATTGACTCAGCACACTTTTTCAAGTTTTTCGTAGTGGTCGATACCAAACCTAAAATNATTATCCTATAAAAGTTATACCTGTTAGAGTTTCAACAGATCATTCACATTTTTTATGAAATATGCCAAAAGATAGACCAACAACAGCTGAAAAAAACCGAGGTATTTAAAATATTGTATATTTTCTGTTTATTTAGGTTATATAGCCTAATAAGAGTGGAAACTGATACAATTTACGAGTTTATGGCGGTTGATTTTTGCGCAGTATATCTGCTGTCAGTTTTTTTAAATCAAGATTATCCAAGCTGAATTTTTGATATGTTATGTAACTTTTGATTCTTTATAAAATAATAAAAAATATTGGAAAAAAGTTTCTGTTTGATGCGAAAAGTGACTCACACTGCCTGTAATCCAGTAATTTCCCTAGAGGAAAACAATCTTGGGTACTTTTTAATGTTATTTATTGATGAAAATTTTCATCTGAGAGAAATTAGGACTTCCACATGGACAGCTCTATAGAAAAAGAAAAAAAAATTTTCAACTAACGTACATCCCTGTAGGAAGGTAGTGGAATTTCGAAAAAAAAAATTTTTTCTTTAATCAGTAGTAATTATCCCGAATGATAGAGCTTAGGATTGTGATCACAGCCATATAGTCGAAGTCTATTATTACTCGCGATTTTGCAGTATAGGGTTGACCTTTCGAGATTATATACTTGCCATACAGCACCAAGTGCTCCACCAGAAGGGTAACACATAAATAATTAAGTGAAAATGAATACTAGAATAGGTCTCGAAAAGTAAATGTATCTATGCACTATTATTTTTTGTTGCTCGTAAAATGCTAAAGATTCGAGAATTGACACTGATATAAACTATGAGAAAAAAGTTCAAACCTTTTGGCATATATATATTTGACTGTGTAAGAAGCTGTGAAAATGATCTGAAGTATGATCAATATGTGCCGCAACTCAATTTACAAGACCCGCATAAAAAGACATTTGCTAGTTAAAACCTACGTTTTTAATTTGATTTCAACTTTCCTCCAGCGGACAAAAGTTTAAAGCTTTTTTACTTGTGTAACTTTTTCTGACCTTCATATTTTCGTTTAGAGAATTGAATATTATAGAGATCGATGCAAAATTTTTATGCTCTAGATATTGATAAAAAAGTTTTGTTTGATATCGTTAATTTTGACTTTAAAATTTGAATATTATCGACAGAGGGCGCAAAATTCGAAAAACTTTAATCTTTTATAATTGATAAACCGTTCCAACTCCGTTATAAATACATAGCTAGAAAGAGCTTAAGAAACTGATTAAAACAGCCGTCTCAGAATTTGTAAAACACAATCTCAAAGTGACATTTTAGACGAATTAACATTCTTTTTGACCTATGGAAGTCTTTTTTCAAAAAAAAATAATTACATAAATATATAGCACTCGATCTGTACTATACAGGCATATAGTTGAATCAAATTAATGCTGTGTAGTTTAAATACACGACTCAAAACAATAAATTGAGGCGAAAATTTTGATGTAGACCGTATTTTTTGAACAAGTAACTTACTACAGTCGTTTTTTGCGATACTTAAACGTTTACGAGCTGTTGTTTCGATGTATGGTAAGCAACATTATTGGAACCTGGATAAACATCCTGCTAGACGGCTAGAAGACAAATAAATGGATTCTATCATCAATAGAACTTACATATAGAAGAAAATGATGAAGAAGACATATGCGAAGATGTTTATATGTACTGGATAACTCAATATTAATATTATGTCAATCATCGTATGACAATACACAGATACGCTTTTATAGAGCGTACGTCATATAGATCTCAATACCACCTATGCATCAATGTTTAAACTAACTCAACAAAAGTTAATAGAGATTTCCTATTGACAAAGAAAACAAAACATAAGGAAAAAAAAGACTAAAGTGCATTTCAATCTAAGCAAAAGACTTCTACGAAACATTCGAAATTGATTCAACTAGAAATTTTAGATAAGATCATGAAGATTAATCTATTAAACATCATTAGAAAATATCTAATTATGTTTATAAAATACATTTTTGTTTGTGTGTGAAAACTACTTGAAAACGAGGTGAAATTGGCGGTCTGAATAATGGTCGTTTCGGCTGGACTGTACCCAATGATCATATCGGATGTCGTTTATAGCCGTACTTTTCTCTTTTAGACTGTATCATAAATGATCATTAGAACGGAAGCCATTTTTCACCGTTTTCATGCCGTTTACGGCCTTGTACGAGTCGTTTTATTCAACCTGGGACGTCCTCTTTCCACCAGTTATTGTTTTTCATATGTGAAGACGATGACATAACCTTAGAAATGAATCAATCAACGTATAATGTAAAATTCTCTATAACTTCAAATGAATGAAAGCAAATTTCCGATTCCGACATATGAAAAAGTAGAATTAATTGTACAACTTCAGTCAACAGGAAACTTGATATTATAGATGTCGCATAAATTGCTATGTTTTACTTTTGTTATTATCGTAACAATATTAATGTTTCATTGAGAAGAACTCTTCATTAATCAAATCTGCTTTAAAAGTTTTTAAATTTAAAATCAAGCGAAATAAATAAAATAATTTTTTGGTTCTTAGTTACAAACGGAGGTCACCATAACAATGGTGGATTAGTTGCAATCGACAGAGACAAAGAAAAGACATCATCCGTCCGTCGGAAAAAAAAATTTGACAATGGCTACTTTAGGAATAGGCGTAATTATTCTAATTGTCATATGGGTTATCACAATAGCAACATTGACATTATTTACTTTTTCTCAGTCAAGTATTCGATATGTTGGTTTACTTGCATTAGTAATAGCTGTCATTATTACACTTGTATTGACATTATTACCACGTGGTGAAGTTAGTCGTGCATCGACATCGGATCCACCTTCAAATTATTCTGGTGTTGCTCGAATACTTATTTTAACATTTCTTTGTGTAACTTTTCTTGTTGGTCTCGTACTCATTTTTGTTCATGAAATTCTTCCACCTATATATGCCCAGCCAGTTCGAAAACGTTTTGTTAGATAAATTTTTAATATTTGTAATAAAATTTTAGATTAAAATTTTCTTTTGAATAAAAATGTCACGTGAACAAGATGAAACAATAACGGTATTATTGAATATAATAAAAGTGATAGATGAAGTAAATCAATTAAATGTTTAGGTTTTTTTGGGTGATTTATCACGTGATGCAACAAAAGAAGAAGTTGAAAAAACATTTAGTTATTATGGAAAATTACGTAATGTTTGGTAAAAATATTTATTTGATTTTTTCAATTTGTTTTAAAAAATTTTGTTTTGTACATTAGGCTTTCACGTAGTCCATGGGGTTATGGTAAATTGATTGACAATCAAAGAATTTCTTAGAATTTATTTTGTTTATAGGTTTTATTGATTTTGAAGATCAACGGGATGCAGCTGATGCTGTCAAAGCTCTTGATGGAAAGTAAATGAAACTAACGAACAAAATATCTCAACTAATTAATCGCTTTGAATTCTGGACTATGTGCATCATGTAAATCTTAATGAGCTATGAATACACTGAAACCGATTCGGGTTCTTAGCTTATTGTTGTTGAAATGTTATATTTTTACGTTATGTTTAAGTCAATGTCGTGAATTCTCTTAGGAACACAACCAAAACTCATTTTTGAATTTTGAGTTGCCACTTTGCATAGAAGCAAATCTGAACGAGAATAGATTATTGTGAAAGTTCTTGATCTCTTGATTGGCTTCTTTCTTGAAATAAGAACATGAAATATACCAATGTATTATGATCAGTGTAAAAGACATGCTTCTATCAGAACTGTATCTGTAGAATAGGAACAACACAATGGTGTGAAATTTTCACGATAAACTATTTTTGGTGAGGTTAATCTTTGTAGAACGTTTCCAGTCGAAATTTGAAAATAAACTTTCCTACGAGAGACCACAGTATTGATTTAAAAACTACCCTAAAACACATAATCTCAATTCAAAGGCGATTAATCCATTGGAGGACTTCCCTTCTAAGATTCTTATTTGAAATTAATCTTTTGTTTTTTGATATAGAATGATATGTGGTTCACGTGTTCGTGTTGAATTTTCTCATGGTCGTGGTCGATCAAATCGAGGTGGTCGAACTCGACGTCGTTCTGGTAGTCGATCACCACGAGCAAGAAAACCTTATAGTCCACATGATATTTGTTATGAATGTGGAGGTTAGTTTTTTTTCTTTCTTTTCAAATTCTTAAATAATTATTTTATTTTAGATCGTGGCCATTATGCTTATGATTGTGAAATTCGATTAAGACGTCAGCGTCGTATAAAGTACGTTTAAATTCATTAATTTATTTTTTCATATTTCAATATTCAAATGGGTTAAGAAATTAATTTAACAAAAGAAAAGACGAAAAAAAAAAAGTATATCTGTTTTTAGTTCACATACATCATTGATGACCAGAGATTGAAACGAGCGAGCGATTTATATGACTAGATCGAAAAGAATAATCTTCATGGTATCGAGAAATGTATATCGATGGAATTCTTCTTTGGATTGGTAGTCAGAATATCAGATATTCATATGAAACAATCGAATCAAAACAAAAACTCTCGATTTATTTATTTGATTTCTTTCATCCAAAAAACATATCAATTCGAAAGGTGTGTATACGATGAACAATCGTAAACAGATAAATATTATTTTATCAACTAGAATATATTCTTATATGACCAACGAATTATTATTTTTTATAAACCAAGATTTTTTAAAAACTACATAGTAAAGAAAGAAAAATTTTATGATGGTCTTCGTTTTTATACATTATGTGCATTTTCATTATTAGAATTAATATTTTCAGTTGTAAAAATCAGTAATTTCCATAAGCTATATTTTAGAGGTATCTAAGATTGTGAGAGGTTAACTTTGCGTTACTAACGTAAGTAAAGAAAATTTCATAGATATAATTCTTTCGTTAAGAACAGATTATTTTAAGAAAAACAACGACTTTTTATAAAGTTTGATTAAGTGTTTCCGAGGTGGAATAATCTGAATATATAATTGATTTCTCGGTTCAATTATTTCTAACTCGTAGATCTTAGACTAAACTTTATAAAATGTCATTGCTTTATCTACATAGTTTTTTCTTGATGAAAGAATCAAGTTAAAAAAATTTTCCGGAATTCCTAACGGTGTAGTTATTGTTATCGAGTGACGTAACAGTAACTTTCCTTCACTATAGATATCAAATGAAAGGAAGACGAAGGTTCATCCTTTTGCACTATGGTTTTTCTTTGTAACTATAATTGCTATGCATTATACAATAATGAATGAACTTATTACGAATGATATAGTTAGATATTTATGTGAATATGATTTTATAGTCTAAATGTTCATTCAAGGCTGAACAATTCTCGTATTAAATTAATGCTTGTTTTTTTTTGATAGGTCGATGGAAAAATGTTGAGATTCGTAAGAAAATAAATTTCTATTTTGTACGATTTACAATTGTGTTTTAAATGAAATGTAGAAAACTTTAAACAGTATTCAGTTATCACTAAGTTAATCATGATTCTCATCAGTATGATTATCTGTTAAGAACTTCAGATGAATATATGTGTTAATATGAGTTAAAATATATTTCTTATGGTTCAAAAGGTCATTATTGAGTTCTGTCTGTTGAGAGTAAAACCATAAATTGATTCTTATCAATAATATCAATTGTTATGTACAATATCTGATTGAAGCATTTGATGGTCATCCATGATAATAAAGTAAAGGATTCATTGAGTGCTTCTCGGAAAGGAATGAAAGAATTTTATTATTTAATAAAGAATAAATTCTACATTTTATTTTTTTTCCTAATTAAAAAAACTAATCGAAAAGAATTATTTCTAGGTCCGGTTCACGTAGTAAAAGTCGTAGTCGAAGTCCTAGACAAACAGGCAATGGTTATTCATCAAAACGTGATCACAAGTTAATAACTTTTTTTTTATTTTTTATCTTTTTTTTTTTTGTAAAAAAATTTTCATTTTAGAAGTCGTAGCCGTTCTGAAAGTAGTCGATCATCGAAAGATCGTGAACATTCAGATAGTCGTTCTCGATCACATTCACGTTCTGGATCGGATAGTCCAGCTCGATCAAAAGAACGACGATCACGTTCACGAACACGATCAAGATCAAGATCTCGTGGTAGTCGATAAATTATTATAACAAAGGAAAATAACAACTATACTAATTATATATATATATATATATTTTTTTCCTATCATCAAATATAACTCAGAACAAAAAAGACACTTGTCTTCTGTGTGCGTGTATAATCCCATAAAATGCTTTCGAAAAGGATAATTTGTTTGAACTTATATAATGTTCTTTCTTCTTCGAAACTGTATTTGTGTTTTATAAACAATACATATACTATTAAATATCTACTCAATTTCATGGGTTTTCTTTTTTGTTTTGTTTTCTTTTTCTCGTGTTCTTTTTCTTTTTTGTTATTATTCTTGATGTTTGATTTGATGAAAGAAATACATATTATTGTCATCGAGGAAAAAAAACGATTATTTTCTCATGAAATTCTATCAAGGAAATATTAATGAATAAATTGAGTGGGCCCAGGCATGACTTTAAGTTACCAGTTTCAAGGAGGGAATAGAACTATTATACGTAGTCAATTCTTTTTCTTATTCATGTCTTTGGTCAATGAAAGAAGGCAAAAAGAAAGAGAGAAAAGACGTGAGAAGATTTTTCTTTGGTACCATTGCGCAAGAGAAACAGAGAGAGATCGAGAAGAGGAGGACTATTTTTTCACACGAGCTCATTCTAAAACAATCATATTTATTCTCGGTGTGTATGTGGACATATGCAAGCTAATCTATAAGTTATGTCGACGATCATTTTTTTTCTTCTTCATCCACTTTTCATCTATTTTGTAATAATCAATGGACAAACTTATGTCGAAGGTAAATTTAAATGATTAAATTAATTCTATTATCTATGTAACTGCATCATCATTAATGGTTAAAATATTATCAACATTCAGATTGCATTTGGATATATTTTATTTAAGATATAAGATTCTTTTTCAGTTGTTTTTTCTTTTTGTACAAAATATACATATGATGATACTAGTCTCATTCTTCTTTTCGTTCAATCGGTACTGACAGGTACAAGGCAAAAAAAATACGTCGGTCACCATCGTATGTTTGAACAAGAAATGGCCGAATGTAAAAGAAAAGGCATTTATCAACGAACACTTCATAATTGAGAACGAATGTGAGAATGAATTCTTGTGCAATACATATATACATACATACACACTTCAACATAGACGATTGAGATGTTGGGTGTCAATCACATCATCTTATTCAAGTGTCTGACGGATAAGATGTCTATTGATATAGACGGACAGAAAGAAAAGAATCTTTATTTCAATTAAATAATCTAAAAAAGTCTTATATTTTAAGTAATTGATGTTAGTGATGATCCAAATTGTGCAAAATGTGATGGTCGAGCAGTATGTATACGTCTATCGAATACAATTGGTGTCAGCTGTGTATGTCTTCCCGGCTTTGCTCTATCGTCTTCAACAGGTCGTTGTATTCTTCAAGGTAATATATTCTGCTTTTATGTTATGTAAGAAATATTCTTCTTCAATTTCTTTTTTGTGTTCCTTCCGCCTACCTGACAAAAGAGCGTTAAAGCATTATTCTAGCATCCGTTCAACAATTATACTTAATTAATATATATTTTAAGTGTCATTTTTTTTTCTTCTAGAAATTCCGTACAATGGTATATGCGATAGTCGTTATGAATGTTTTAATGGAGGTTCGTTGACTTCTTTGATTATGTCTATTAGAGAAGAAAGAAAGACAAAGAATTTCCTTTCTTTTTCTTTCAAGGCTATTGTTCAAATGTGACAAGTAAATGCGTATGTTTATCAGGTTATGGTGGTCTTATGTGTGAATTGGACATAAATGAATGTGCAAGTAATGATCGAGTTTGTGGTTCACATTCTTGTACAAATCTACCAGGAGATTATAAATGTGATTGTGATTTTTTTCATTCAGGAAAGCAATGTCAAAAAAGTAAATATAATATATAGTTATATAAATAAAATTATTCTTTCGTTTATTTAAATATTCGTTTTAGTTAGTGCTATAGGTCTTTTTGTGGTAATTATTTCAACAATTGCAGTCATATTAATCTTTATCTTCCTTATTTTATGTGCTATTCGTACATTTTTTACTTATCGCTTATCAAAACGAGTTTCGAGGTTTGATTTAAATAGGGTTTTTGATTTTGTTGTTTTTCTATAAGTAAATTAATCATTTAAGAGAACGTGAACTTCAACTTCAAAATCCATGTTTGGCTACATTAACGACCGGTGGTATGAGAGGAGATGATCTATTATCAAATGGACTATCATTTATTCGTCCTATTGGTCATCGAATCTATGTACCAATGGAAACAAGCTTTCTTAATGCAATGCGTTTTCAAGCCAATATAGATGATGATGAGAAAAAACAGATTCAATCACCACCGAAATATATTACAAATCTTAATGATTCAGTGATTAATATCAATGCGAATTAAATATCACCTGTGACAATATTTATCTGTTCACTTCTTATTTTCTATATAAGAAAATAAAAAAACTATTTATTTTTGTCATTCATATTTTATCATGAGTCAACACAAAAGTGAACACTAACACAAAGATATATTAACTAATAGTATGATTATTTTCTTATTTAGTAAATGAAATATCCGTCTTCATATTTATAATAGGACATGGAACAGTTTTTTCTTCTTCTTTTGTTAACAGATTACAAATTGCAAAAATTGTCCTAGATGGAACCCTCACTTTATGGTACTCTTGAAAAACAACTCATCAAACAAATTTGAAGTTTTCAGAGTAGATAAATCTTGATGAGTTAGGCAAAATTTATTTATCAGACTTAAAATTGTCAAATGTCTTTCTTCTAAGAGATATCGAAATTACAAAGGCTAAAGGCCGCTCTGTTCTGTCAACTAACATATGCTTGATAGACAAAAGAGTTTTTTGTTACAGTAACTAGATACTATTTGAGACGTCTATCTTTTTATTTTAGTTTCGTTTTCTCTTCTTCAATTCGAATAAAAAGATGAAAATACTGAGCATACGCCCAAAACTATATGTGCTTTTTTAGCATAAGTAGAAGAAAGTTTGAGCTCGATTGGATGTATTCTGGTTGAGAAACAAGAGTGATTTTCAAATTTTTTGGTAAAAAAACTACTCATGATGTAATAAATTTTTTGTCATATCATCCTAGGACTCAGTGGTACGAGGATGATTTGTTTAAAAAGTATTTTATCGAATTTCTAGTGCTTAGTGATAATATGAAAGTGCTTTGAGGTATGGGCTTCATCTTGTCATATACTTAACTAATATTGATTTAGGACTGGGCGAATATAGAGAAGTTTAAGAGATGAATAACATTCGTAAACATATAGACAATGCTATTGTATTGAGTAATCTGTTTAAGATAATTTGATTTTTCGTATTGTATAATTGCTTTTGCATATTTTTCTTGACTGTACTTGATCATTCTAAGTCTATGATGAATACATCTTATTTCTCACTTAATAACTGTTTATGCGCGTATAATTTCATACGTTTATGAAATTTTATTAAATTGACTAAATTGAAACAGTATGTTACCTTTTTGATATTATTCTTTTAGGTATAGGAAAGCTTTTTTTCGTACATATATTGTTTTAAAGCTTGAAGTTTAGGATTTTTCTCGGTAGTCAAACATTATCGCTACTTGCCAAAAACTGCTATTGCTCTCAAACCGTTTTGTTTTACGAACGTGGAATATCGGTTTCTTTGAAAAGAGAATTTCTGTTCTTAGATAATAAAGTACACGACAAAAGTTTAAACCTTTTTGTCTATGGTCGTTTTTTACTGTATACGAAGCTTTGAAAATGATTTGAAGTATGAATTGTATATACCACAAGATGAGCTACAAGACCCGTATCGTAAGATCCAATTGCTTTTCGTGATCTAGATACTTTTTTAAAGAATTTTTAAATTATACAAATCAATGCTGAATTTTGCGTTTTACATCTGGAAAAAACCTTTTATGGCATATCGTTCATTTTGACTTTGAAATTTGAATACTACCGATAGAGAGCATAAAATTTAACAAACTTTAATGCTTTATAATTCAAAAGCCGTTTACAATTCCGTTACAAATACATGACTAGAAAGAACTGAAGAACCTGATTATAACAGTGATCTTGGAGTTTCTAAAATACAAAGTCAAAATAACTTTCTTGACGAACTAATTTTTTCCAAAAAAATTCATGGAAATATTTTTCTTTTTCAAAAAAGAAATTATTAAAAACAAAACTTGACAATTCGGAAATATTCCCTCGACTGTAGGGAGTGTCATATGAAAAAAAAAAGTTTGTGTCTGCATCGGGGTCAAAAAAACATCCGCTCGTGCATAAAACTTGACCAACAGGTAATTGAGAGTGGGGAGTTCAAATCTGAGGTTAGTTTTAATTAATTATTAATTAATTATTAATTAATTACTAACTACTCATTAATTATTAATGATTTACATAAAACTTGACCGAAGGGTAATCGAGGGTGGGGAATCCGAATCTGAAGTCAATTTCTCGAATTTTTGAATTGAGTTTTTAGGGACAAGCGAACGGTTTTTGAGAATATAACGATATTTTATAAAGATTCACGACAGTAAATCGGGGTCAGAGAATCCGAATCCGTAATCGGTTTATCGACATTTTTAATTGAACTTCTTCAATGAAGGAAAGCCTTTTTGGGGGAAAATAACGATATTTTATAAAGGTTGACGAAAGTAAGCGGGGGTCGGGTTATTGGAGTCTGCAATCGGTTTCCTGAAATTTCAAATTCTTGTTTGTATCAGTTCTTTCTATTATTGGGATAGACACCGGAGGTATTTTTTGCACATGGGTAGCTGTTAGCATGCCTGGAACGATTGGGAAGGCAAGCAGATTAGAAACGCCTCGACAATAATCTTGAAATGTTCAAACGATGGAAGTTATTCACACCTTGAAGTCCCATATGTTTGATATAAAAACACAAATATGATTTCACTAAGAGATGCTGCCCATGTCAAATCTCTGTATCTCAGCAGCTCTTAAAGCTATAACAAAAGCCATCTATGTTCAAAGAAAGGCAACGGTGCCTTTTGCAACGACAGAGAAGTGTTGTAAAATTAACCAGATTTTCTTACAATCTTTCAATAGAACTAATTTTGTGAGCAAATTTCTCCCATTTCTTTCATATGGTTAAATGTACATCCTGCAGAAATCTATGCATAGATGGGGCAGGATCTTAAACTGGTATGTGGTAATAAACTGTAATTTATTATTAAAATTATAAAAACCCGAATTTTTAACCTTGTATATGTTTTGAGAATCTCTAAGTCGTGGAATTTCTAGTTGCGATAACTTGAAGTAATAAAAAAAATAGAGGTATAACAACGATGCCATATCTTTTATGTTAAATAGACAATAAGCAAACTGTTACATGAGTGCACTGACGTAAAATGAGCGGCCCGTTGCTTTTATTGCAACCGTTCGGTAGATTTCGCTCACCAAAGATATGTATAAAAGCTAGTTTTTTTGAGAACACTGCACTAATATTTTCTTAATGAGGGATTTCAATAAAACTCTGATTTTTCAGCTGCAGAATGAAATCAGAAATATTTCATAGAGAAGCTTTGGTTTAGAAATCCCCGTCGAGAATTGTCGTGCTACAGATCTAATATGGTTTTTCGTAGTAAGCAGAATTTGCGAGTAGATCAAGTGTAAATAAAGAAGGATGGTTCTGTGAAGAAATAGAACGAAACATAGCGGCGGCTAGTCGTGAGTGACGCCCCGGAGGGGCGCCGACTAACGACTAGCCGCTGCAGTACGAAGTCCCTTGAAGGAATGCTTCAAGCTGTTGGTATTCATCAAATAGACATCAAGAGTCTAGGTGAAACGGGTTTGAATAAGGAGTAGCAGTTGCTAAGAACTGAGAAATATTTTGAAATAAAGTGTGAGAACGCCTTTTCTGCACTTGTGCGATATTTGAATAGTACATTTAAGGGAAAACATTATTTATACAATTTATATTCGTTCTATCGGAATGCTATTTGAATGAAATAAGCGGGGGTTTCCTTGCTGAGATGCTCTCTTGTTGATACTCATTCAAATGTCGAAATGTATATGGATATATTCAAATTACTTATCTAGTCTGATGGCTAATATGACTAGGAGCTTCTTTCAAAGATGAGAATCCGATTATAGACCAGACCTAATATGATTAATTTTAAGGTGGAAGTTCAAGTAAACCTGCATTTTGATAGCGGACGCTCTAGTAAACAATATTGCCGGTAAATGTGTTAGCAAGCGAAAGAACTTTTGGTACAAATTTTAAAGAGCATGGCGCGTTTTCACGAAAGTCTCGCGAATGAGCTTTGCTTCATTACCTCTGAATATAAGCTCCTTTTTTGGGNATTTAGGAAACGATTAACATTTTTTTCTCAGTTGATAACAGAAAAAATTTCTTTATTAAAGTCAACAATAGTACTTAATAGAAGTATTTGCCTACATTATCTGTATGAAAAAAGTTTTGAATAAAGTTCTACCACTAACTAAAAAAATCAGCTCAGTTGATTGAACTGCAGTGGAGATATTTGAATTTTTTATCGCCGTGTTATTTATGGGCCACCCTGTATATGTTATAACTGAAGTTAGAATTCTAATTTCGACTGAACGAAATTGAAATAATTTTTTAATGAATAGAAAAGAATAAAGAAAGACCAACAATTTAAGCACCAAATTTCTTATTGTATTTTACAAAACATTTTAACAAATATTATATAACTTTTACACTAATCCAGTCCATATTTGAACATGCATCCTTCTTTGAGTGACATTTGGTAGAGTAGAACACATTTTATTTTCTACATGCGGACGTTTTGGTCGCACATTTACCACGACAATTACAAGTGTATTCTGTTGTGGAACAACGAGAATCAAGTTTTGGTGCTTTAGTAAGAGTAATCGATTTTATGTTATCAGCATCGATATTGTTCAATTCATCAGTAAAAATATCTTTTAAGTTCATATATTGTCCCATTTCAAATGTTTTCTGGAGAACATCATATCGACATTAATTTATATAAGAAAAGGTTATTCTTTTCAGTTTCTTCAATAATAAGGCATGGCAAATATTTTGGATCGGTGTTTGTTCGATCAACTGGATGTACTTCTATTCCAACACAATCATTTAAATTAAAATTATCTGCAATAATACTTAAACTGTCTTGATGTAATTTTCATTTTCTTACTAGCATTTGAGAAGTAATGATCAGCGGCAATTCTTCGAATTGTATCATGTCTGGTTGGTGTTGTTGCTATAGCTAATGATTGATCTTGATGCTAACGGTGTACTAATTAATTGTAATAATGAATTAATTGATGCATAAGAAGCAATATCATGAGATAATTGAATTGTTTAAGAAGATCAACTACTTCAGTATCAATACGTTCATCGAATTTAGTTAGATTAT